TTAAAGATAGAGTGAGAGAGGAGAGAGGGAGAGAGAGAGAGAATTTTTTAATATTTATTATTTTTAGTTCTCGGCGGACACAACATCTTTGTTGGTATGTGGTGCTGAGGATCGAACCCGGGCCGCACGCATGCCAGGCAAGCGCGCTACCGCTTGAGCCACATCCCCAGCCCCTGAAACTAAGTTTCATATGCATATGAAACTTATAATCAATGTTATTTTGTTTTTTGTTACTGTTATTGTTTTTAGTATTGGGGATTGAACCCAGAGCCACTTTACCACTGAGCCACATCTCAGCCTTTTTTAATTTTATTTCAAGACAGGATCTCACTAAGTTGCTTACGGCCTCACTAAATTGCTAAGGCTGGCCCTGAATTTGTAATCCTCCTGTCTCAGCCACCCAAGCCCCTGGTATGCACCACTGCACCTGGTACCATATGCATACAATCATCAATGTCACAAACCTATCATGATTATTAAGGAAAAGCCCACATATCCAATAACAGAAGTGAGCCACCGACTACCCTGAAAACTTTGTCCATGAAGACATGAACAAGGGGAATGTCAGTACAGATTACTCACTTTATTCTATCGATATTTTTAATGTCATCCTGATTTAGGAATGAATAGCAGGTTTTATGATTTTTACTGTCTCAAAACATAAATTTACTCCCATTTCCTTTTATGATATCTGTTATTCCTAGCATGTACTATATAAGAAACTGACTGACTGATCCAGTAGGACTGTCCACAACCACACAGGTTTGGTTGACAGACACACCATCTACCTCCTCCCATGGGACCTCATTGCCCCAATAAAAAGARCTCGCACACAAAGGCAGGACTGAGATGTGGACACATATCAAGAAACAAGGAGGGCTGGGGATGTGGCTCAAGCGGTAGCACGCTTGCCTGGCATGCGTGCGGCCCTGGTTCAATCTTCAGCACCAYGTACAAACAAAGATGCTGTGTCCACCGAAAAACTAAAAAATAAATATTAAAAAAAAAATTCTCTGTCTTWAAAAAAAAAAAAAGAAACAAGGAAAAGACAACCATCCTCAGCCATGCTTATTTGTCAACAGTCTACCAGGAATGTGGCCTACACTAAGTCCTAAATATGTAATCTCATTTGATCTTCAATAAGCCTTAAGAACTGGTTCTACTAAAGTAACCAAGGCTCCCAGTTTCACAGCAAGGCACAGCCAACCTTAGAATCCAGGTCAGTCCCACTCCAAAACCCATGCACTTAATCATTAAGCCATCATGCAACATCTGGATTAGGCATCTGCAGTCAGTCCTGCAATTTTCTGTACATCAGGACACCCAACTCCTCACTTACTTGACAGCCCCAACATCCTCGGCATAGCGCTGCATCTCTTCCCGGGCCCTCTCCTCTCGCAGTTCCCGCTGCAGTTCCTCAATCTTCTTCCGCTCTGCCTCATGCTTCTGCTCGGCCTTCCACACTTTCTCCACATTGCGAAGGGTCTGTGGGTGCCAGCTTTTCTTCAAATTCTGTGGTGAATGGAAGTAGGGAGAAAATAATTCAGCTGGGGGTTATAGCTCAATGGTAGAATAGTAGAGTACTTGCCTACATACATGAGGTCCTGG